AGACAAGCAAAACATATTGTCTTGTTTTAAGAAATAGTAGGCCGAAATGAAGTGAGTTTTTCCTTAAATCAAGCTAAATAATCTGCCAATGGGGTAAGCAAAATAATCTTGTTTTTCGATTTGTGATAAGATTATTTTGCTTACCCCATTGGCAGACTATTTAGGTTGATTTAAGGAAAAACTCACTTCATTTTGGCCTAATATTTCTTAAAACAATACAATATGTTTTGCTTGTCTATAAGATGCTTCTTGATTTAAGAACTTTTGGATATTTGGACTAATAACAAGACTAAAAATTTAAGTAAGAAGAGGCCCACCGGTTGAAAATCCCTGACCTATAGCATCTTGAGCCAATGCACACCTCCCACCAGTGCCAATATACAGCCATATCGCACTGCTACAAGTGTCATATTGTGTTTATACAACTGTTTGATGGCATAATCGTGTATACAAACAAGAAAATTAAACATGGAGAGTCTAAAAAAACTGTTTGTAAAATGAACTACTTTCTTCTGAACTTCATATAGGTATAAAATGTTTAAAGGGCACATAGTTTACCCCTTATTTATGATTTAATATTAGTATTAAGGTTGTTCTGAGTGTGTCAGGTTAGGTTCAGTTCAACACACAGTTCAGATGTTTTTATTATAATGTGTTAAAAGTGTCATGTTGGGGGTGTGTACACAGCTCGCTGTTTTAGGGGTGCGTTACTTTACATGAAAATTTGTTTCGGCTTCCCGCCTAATGTAACAAGGGGGCGGAGCCAAGAGCTCACCTGCTCTGTGTTTGCAACAGACAGGCAGACTGAGAGAAGCAGCATGAGTGAGAGGATCAGCATTCAGCCGTACATGTCTGACTCGGACACAGACCAAGCGGAGAGGACACAATCATTTGTGTCTTTGTAAAGTTTTACAGCCAGCTGTGTGCTAGTTTCAAATTCCGAGCTTGTACACCGAGACTAATAACCACGCACACTGAATTAACTTTGACTGAGGCACCGGATGCGCCGCTCAAAGCCACGACATGGCACACCAGACACTCTCTGTGGCGCGGCAGAAACATGAAGTGTCCCGAATTGTCGCACCATGGATTTTAGAACTCTAAACACAGGTTTAAATTAGGGCACACACCAGCCGCTGACTTGAAGTGCCGCCGCGTGCACCCTGACAGAAACCCACGCCCAGAATTCCAAAATGCATGGTGCTGTGTCAGCGTTGCGCCACGCAGAGTGGAGCTTCTGGTGTGCGACCTGCAGGCAAGTTTGTTATTTTATTTCCATTGGAGAGACGCGCACATGAGGCAACGCGCTCGCACTTTCCAGCTCCACCTAGTTAAGATCACAGGGAGCTTCTGTGAACGAGACAAATGCAGATGAACAGATGAAGCTTCAAGTAGACGCAATGAAAAGTACACATGTTTGCAAACCTACCTACAAACAAACTAAGTTACAAACAATAATTCCAATTAGAGCGATTATGTGGTGAATGTTGATCTTGTGTTGAGCCCAATAAGCCTTATATCTAAAAATAGAGCAAGGGTGTTCCTTTAGTGACATCGATTTGACTCACACGCTGAAAACGGCGACATGAAACAACAAACTGAGGATATGATGATGCGTCCCTGTCAATCAATATTGGTGGACGGAGGGACCGCACTCCTACATCAAGTTGCGGTCGCTCTGAAAAAACGCTCCAATTGGTCCACCGTTTTATGCAATTAATTAAAAAAAAAAAAAAAAAAGCATTGTGTGTGTTTATATCACCCCAATATAATGGTCTGTAACTAAATATTATTTTTAAAACAAAAACATCAAGAAAAATCAACATATTTTTATACTTATTATTATATTGTCTACAATCTGCTCTCTCAGAGCCGGAATGAAATTTAAAATGGGTTTCTACCATCGACCCTTGAAGCTAAAGAGTGAATAATTGAACATTATCCCAGTCTAGTCCTTCTAATAGTGCAGTGTTCACTCTAATTAGCTATCTGTGTTGTGTTGAGTCCAATGAGCCTTATATCTAAAAATAGAGCAAGGGTGTTCCTTTAGTGACATCGATTTGACTCACACGCTGAAAACGGCGACATGAAACAACAAACTGAGGATATGATGATGCGTCCCTGTCAATCAATATTGGTGGACGGAGGGACCGCACTCCTACATCAAGTTGCGGTCAATTGGTCCACCGTTTTATGCAATTAATTAAAAAAAAAAAAAAAGCATTGTGTGTGTTTATATCACCCCAATATAACGGTCTGTACACTATACCTACACAGATGTCTGTGCAAACAGCTTGAAAAGTAGATTTTTTTACCATAGGTGCCCTTTAAATCTAATACAAATTTAAATACAAATTTATATATATGTAAATATTTTGGTTTTTGTATTTTAGATATTTGTATTTATTCATACATACACAAAATTTAGTGAGTACACATGAATTATATATAAATACAAACTGTTATCTTGAAAGTGATTCACCATTTGACAGCACTAATA